GTTTGATCAGTGGAGCCCTGCAGTGATACTGTACCGAAACACATCCATATTCTTTGCCTTGTTTTTAAACATGCCAAAAGCTCTGTGTAATTTCTTTATCAGCAAGTTTGGGAAGACAATTTGGGGACATAAAGTACTTTTATTCAGCAAGGATGCATTAAATTGATTGAAAGTAGCAGTAAAGACATTTATAATATTACAAAAGATTCTATTTCAAATAAACACTGTTAAACATTGATAATCAGAAATGTTTCTGGAGCAGCAAATCAGCATGATTTCTGAAGATCATGTGACACTGAAGACTGAAGTAATGATGCTGAAAATTCAGCTTTGATCACAGCATGCAATTAATTATTTTACAATATATTCACACAGAAAACAGAACAAAATAAGGTCATTGCATACTATATTGCACATGCTGCAACCTGCTTCATGAACCCTGGTGTGGGTATCAGTTGTGTTCAAATTTTTTTAAATTATTGATCATGGAGTCAATTATTATATTTCTGCTACAAAATGGGTTAATTATGACATGCAAACCAGCATAAAATTAAAGGATTTTCTTATCAGATGATTATACGTCTTGTCTTAAGCTTAACAAAACGTTCCCCAAAGCAACTGCTTTTATCATGTTTTAGCAGCACATTTTTGGCATTGAGATTGTGACCATATCTTGGAGTTTCCCAGATACTTTGCTTTCTAACAGCAAATGTTTTTACTGTGTTAAAATGTTACATTTATTGTGTTAAAAAGTCAATTTTTTAATTAATCAAAAGTCAGAGGGTGCATCTTACTTTCTTTTCTTTTTTTTTTTTGTTATAATTTTATTCTTTCTGTTTGCTTATGATGCAATTTCCATTTCATCGTCCAGTCATACTTCCCGATAACAAAGCACAATCATATCACTAAATACATCAACTGAAACAATATATTTCAAAATATATGAATGACTCTACAGTAAGTCGCCAAGCCCTAAGTTCATGCATCATGGTATCATGAACTATCAATGGTAAGGTCATATAGGTTCGATTCCCATTGGAATTGCATGAACTGATTAAATTTATACCTTAAATGCAATGACATTTATACATTTGGCACTCTTATCCACAGCAGCTTGCCTTACATGCATTTAAGATAGGCTATGCATTTTATCAGTTCATGCATTCCTTAGGAATCGAACCCATGACCTTGCACCTGGTTGAGCTACAAAAATGCAGTTTATGCATGTGTGCAATGTCAAAGCATTTTCCAAATGTAAATTAAAGTTTCTTGTAAGACCTGCAAATAACTTACATGCCACGTCAAAAATCTGAGTAATCTATTGCACTTGTGCAAACACTGTACAGCACCCTAACTAGCACGTTAAAGCCTCAATAAGGAGTTTAGAAAGTACCGTTATTGGACCCTTTCCACCAAAATGTTTCACCAACTTCTGAGACTAATCATGCTCCTCATAGTTGACATGAGGTAAAGTGTGCTTGTGTATTCCTGCATGTTAAAGCTGAGCTCTAACATGTTCAGGACTGAATCGCCTTAAATAAAACTAAAATCTAATCCCTCTAAGTTATGCAAGCGTTCCTGAAACCACCAATAGCAACGATAACAGTTGTCTTGGATTAAAGAAACAATGGAAAAGTATGGAAATGCATTAAACTGAAAGAACTGTGGTTCCTTATAGGCAAAATGAGCACTGCATGTTGTTTTTACAGCTGTGGCCTCAATATATAACCTGACCCACATATATGGATGCTGTTTGCTTTCCTAATATTTTGCATTACTAGCTCTGAAAGGATGAGCTTATTGCGCACCTGAATTGGTTTTTATGCATTAGGAGATAATATTCACCTGAGGGCCCGATCACCTGCAGGGTTGGGCAGGATAGGCCTACTTAAAAGAACTATAGTAGAATAATAAATACTCTCTCCTATATGTAATCGTGACATTTTATCATATTACATTATTATTGTAGATTTCTTTGTAATAATCCATATTTTTTTGCTCGCAGCCTTTGGAAAAGTGGCTAGTTTACACCTAAAAAGGACAGCACTTTTGGTGTTCTGAAGACAATATTGTTTAGAGATGAAAAGTTCTTGCTTGCTCATAAAAAATAATTTTTGAAACCGACTACGCTGGTTGCATTGAATGTTTTTTGACTTTCTAAAAAGAACCAGCTCATAATAGTCGTTTGTTGCATATTATGTTGTTAATGCACTAAAAAGAACGGGCTCATGAGAGTCATTGAAACCGATTACGCTGGTGGCACTGAATGTTTTGAAAGCTGACACATGCATTTAATAAGGTTAGGGAAAGACCATTAAATTTTTAAAAAAAAAAAAAAAAAAAAAAAACCCTGCTCATTAGAATCGTTTCGCGTAGTAGCCTACTTATGTGGTCGATTCACTAAAAGATTCACTAAAAAGAACCGACTCAGAGTCATTTATTATGAATGTGACTGGTTGCACTGAATGTTTTTGGCTACTACAAAGAACTGGTATAAGAGTCAATTGTTCATTAATTGAACAAGTCGTGAAGTAGGCCTACCCATGTTAATTAACTCAAATAAACCAATTTATCAGTCATTTTGTATGAACTGCACTATGCTGATTCCACTGTGTGTTTTTTGACTCACTAAAAAAACTGGCTCATAAGAGTCGTTTGTTCCTCAATCGAACTACTAGTTGCGAAATACAGTAGGCCTACTTATGTTGTTGACTCACTAAAAGATCCGACTCATTAAAGTAAGTTGTTATGAATCGGACTACACAATGTATGTTTTTGACTCACTAAAAAGAACCGGCTCATAAGATTCATTTATGCCTGAATCGAACTACTAGTTGCGAAATACAGTAGGCCTACTTATGTTGTTGACTCACTAAAAGATCCGACTCATTAAAGTAATTTGTTATGAATGGGACTACGCTGGTTGCGCTGAATGATTTTGACTCACTAAAAAGAACCGGAAAGTCATTTGTTCGTGAACTGAACGACAAAAAGTACTAAAAAACAACTAAAAGGTAGGCTAAAGATTTACTCGTGTGTAATGCTTCAGTCCTCAGGCTTTACGCTCCTCACACAGGAAAAGATTAAAATAAAGATAAAAGAACTATTTTCCTCAGTCACATCATTACCAGTGTAAATTATGTTTTTATGGCCTCCACATCTCATTTTCGACATTTGAAGTATAGAAACCCAACCTTGATGCAGGATATTTTTTGCCTCGAGGCCAGAATGAACTGTAGCAACTGGAAACAATTTATCACGAAGGAAGCCAATTTCTAAAGGCACATCTGGCTGAGATGCTATCTGAGCAGATATGCCTCGGCCTCCTTCACCACCAGCGATGAAGAGAAGGAAAAATGCCATAAAGGTGCAAAAATGGGACTTCACACGTTACACGTGAAATGAGAACTCCAGGATGACAGCAGCATGCTGGAACCTGCAGGAGAGGCGGATATTCAGACAGCATGTCTAAAGCGTTCGCCATTAGCCGTGACAAGATAGTGATGCTTGCATTGTAGAGTTTGGCACGTCCTTCACTAAGAAAACAATAGCACGGTACTATGTTTTTGGAGATTTACCATGGTATAACCTTTGGGTACAATACTGTGGTACATTGTACTTTTACATCTAAAAGACCATTTCTTCCAAAGCAACTTAGGAAAGATTATTTATAACAATCAGTGTTGTGGTACATATCTGATTGTACCATGCACCGCCACAGTACTTTCATGTAAAAGCTGACCTTTCGAAAGTAAATTTAACAGCCTTGCTCTGTTTCACAAGAGCCATAGGCTATAATTCTCTGGCTTTTTGTTGACCCTGTTTTATTGCGCAACAAGTCTTTGTTTCATGGGAAAGTGAAAGTAGGTTACAACGCAATAAAAACTATTTTATACTAAATAAAGTCTGAAATGGATTAGGACTGTCAGATTTGTCTACTACAGTCATGTGTCTCAAAACGTAATTGCAAGACACTGAAGTCATGAATTTAAATATTTCTCATCAAATTCTTCTAAAATCAACTGATCTACATTAATTTTATAGGTCTATACTTTCAGTATGCCAAATATCGATTTATCTGTGTCTTATCGTCTAATAGGGATTATAGGAGAAACATACTTAATAAATAAAACAATAAAATGTTATATCTCACATCATGCATGCATCACGTAAAAAAAGGATAAATCCAGTTATTTTCAAAACATTTTATTTTTATATATATATATATATATATATAT